GATACTAAGTGTTTTATGAAATTTAAAATGCCGTGGCCAGAACTTTTGGTATGCCCTAAGTATATAGTTTGAAAGTATTGGACTAATTATTTTATAATGCACTATTACAAATGAGATCGTCGATGTTTTTAAAAATTTACAACTTCTTCGATATTTACTATAGGATTTAGGATTTTAGTAAATCATCGAATATATTATTCAACATAATCATTATTTTTTTTGAAATATCTATTTAATATCCCAGGTCCAATAAAACAGCAATTAACAATGTAAAATGTTGATAAACGGCGCCGTAATCCGTCATACCAAATTACGGAAGCAAAACCGGGAAAAAACGACGGCCGTATTCTAGCGATAGAAACGGCTCGTAATATGGTATGACGGATTACGGTGAAACAAGGCAAAAATTAATGCAGTAATTCGCCCTTTTATAGCCGTTTCAGGCTGGATAAGACGCCGTTTTTGACGGCCGGAATGATCTATCTGGGATCGGTTGACCCAATTCAAAAAGATGTGTTCGTTTTCATATGAGATTTCGTCAGCCGGACAACTCTAAGTTAAAAAAATCAAAAATTAAATATTTATTTAAAATTTGATTAAGATTAATTGGTTACCAATTTTGTCATAAAAATGATCTTATTTGAGATATGATTATCCGTTTCAATATGATTAAAAGGTTATCTTGGTGAAAATTTGATACTTTGTAAAAATTAAAAGCTGATATAATATTAATTTCATAGTATTTGTACAATTCAATTATAGGCTTTGAATTTTACATATTTTCAAATTAATGATAAACAATACATATTTGTGTAATTTCCATCTTAAAAATTAAAGAATTTCAAATATATTGAAATATGGCATACACTAATGATCCATATTATTCATCCATAGAGCACTACAAAGGTTTTTTCACTCGCTTCTTCTAAAAGCCATAGTTTGCGTTCAAATATTCGGTTATAATGCTTAGACATATTTAGGATTATGAACAAAATTTCAGCCTTATAAGTCTTATCCTTTGCTATTGTCCATCATTTCTTATATGTTAGTACCATGCCATTTTCTATATGCTGCATAACGGGTGACTTATAATAAATGGCAGAACTTTGCATTTCATATCTTAATCCTTAAAAATATTTCATTAAAAAAAAATATACCAGAAGATGCAACATGAAAAGCTCTACAATCTACAATGTAAAGCTTATCTTAATTGTGTGCTCTTTGTTTGAAAATAAACAGTGTCCTAAGCAACCAATTTTCGATGCTGCTGCGAAAAGTACTCCGGAGAATTTCGCTTCTTTTTGAAAATAAAAAGTATACAATTAAAATAAACTGTTCTTTCTAAATTGTCGAACTTTTCATGCTGCATCTTATGGTATGTTTTGTTTTTTGATTTAAGAGAAAATATCAGATAAAACAAAGATGACATAAGAAAAAACGAATGATCTCTTATCAAAAAAAAAAACATTGATTTCACAGCATCGAAAATTTAATGTTCAGAACTTTGTCAATTTTTGGCACTAAAAATGCAACTGTAAAATTAGTTTTCTCCTATATAAATTATAGAGTATTTCACGCTGCATCTTCTGGTATATTTTGTTTTTTTATATAGGATATATTTAGGAGTCGAAATATAAAATGCAAAGTTCTGCCATCTATTACAATTCATCAATTAGAAAGCCGCATGCACCTAGCGTAAAAGAAATGATTGACAACAGTAAAGGATAAGACTTATAAGGCTGAAATTTTGTTCATAATCCTAAATATGTCTAAGCATTATAACAGAATATTTGAACTCAAACTACAGCTTTTAGAAGAAGCGAGTGAAAAAACTTTTCTAGTGCTCCATGTATAAATCATTTGTGATCTTGTTTATTTTATTATAACTTAGATATAAATTAAGTGAAATATATATGCAATCAGTTAACATCGATTGTACGATCCTTGACAGCCAATTTGATCCACTTGTCAGTTTTACGATTGATACAGTCAAAGAATTAGTTTCTTTCTGACATCGTACATTTCAATGTCATTATGCTTGTCATCTCATTAATAGTATTTCTCATTATTCTTATCATAGTTTACATTTTGACTACAATAAGACACCAAATCTTTCTATAGAGAATTCTGTACATGCTTCAGAACTTTGTTTTTTGTTTATTGTTACTAAACTTCTTATTTGAGTGATGAATTTTATAATAGCGTTAAGATATCAGTGAAAAAACTTTCTTTTAATTATCCGATTTCGCATTAGAAATAAGGCATACATCATCGACTGCGTAATACGTCCTACGGACAGAAGAGAAAATAAGAAACGAGAAAAGAATAATTGTTGTCAGTTAAGGACATATTTCTGTCTTTCTTTATGTTGTTGAGCTCTACGCAATAGAAAACAATAATTGTAAATTCTCTTTCTTTTTTTTTCTATAATGGGCAAAGAAATATCTTGAAATAAAATATATAAGCAAAAATAGAATCTAAATTTAATATTCATTTCAATGTATACTACTTCTGATGACGACTAAACGACATTGAAATATAAATTTTTTTCGATGGAGTTAAACTTCACTTTCAATTCAATGTGCAATTTCATATAAAACATGTATTGCAACAAAGTACAGAAAAAAAAAAAAAGAAACGAATCATTTAATCAAAGTCTGGTTCATTGAGTAGATAATCAGCTTTCTCATCATTGGCTTCTTCTTTTTCACGTACTTTTGATTGCATAAGTGTATGTTCTAATACAGCTATACGAACATCAACACGAATAATATCACGACTTAATTCTTCAATAGCTTTCTTAATTTTAACCAAAGGACCTAAATATTCAATAAAAATTAGATTTAAATGAAATAAAAACAATAAGACAAACCTCCATCTGTAACATTTTGTCCTGTTTCTTCCATTTCTTCTTTAATTTGTGATAATTCAGCTGTAATTTGAGCTAATTGTTGAGATTTTTCTGTAATACCTGATGAACAATGACGATAATGTTGTTTAGCTTGTGCTAATAAATCTTGTTGTTGATGAAATTCATGAACATGATCATTTAATTGAGAATTAATATATTGTTCACCTATATAATTGAAAACAAAACAAAAAAAAAGAATTCAAAAATAAATCATCAATAGTGATTTGATATATTTTTTTTTTCTTACGTGTTGTTATTTTTTCTAATGATTTAGCAATATCCGTATGAAATCTTGTTAACATTTGTTCAGCATCTTTAAGTGAATTTGCAATTTGTGATTTATATGTTAAACGTTGTTCTTGTCGTGCACGCCAATCTTTATTTTCTGCTTTAAATGTTACTTTAAGTTGTGGTAAAATACGTTCAACTTCTAATTTCCATTCAGTTGCATCTGTTGTTGATTCCATAATTAATTCAGGACGAATTTCAGGTTCAGATATTGCAGCAGCACCAACTGAACTTGTTTTTAAACCTAATTTTGTTAAAGCTTCCATATTAAGTACAGCTTCATCTTCTTCATATTCATCAGCATCAGTATCCTAAAATGAAAACAAAAAAAAAAAATTTATCTTATATCATTGTATGATATTTTCATAATACCCTATTAAACATTTCTTCATCAATTTTATTAACATCAATTTCATTATCATCATCTTTAGGACCAGAATCATCAGCATCTGGTAATTCATCCGGTTTTTCAGGTCTAAAAAGGAAATATATAATGACTCTATTATTAATATTAACTTACAATCGCCAAGTAAAACCACTTCGTTTAAGTGCATCATCAGCGAGTCGATTGAGAATGTAAACAACAGGTTCACCAGAACCAGAACGAAGTTTACTTGCACTAACACTTATATCATGACCCTAGAAATCAAATTTATTTAATAATTATCAATATAATAAGTATAATGAAAAATATCCGATAATTTTTTAAGTTTTGTGAATGATTAATTCGATGAAATAAAGTTTTTTTCTTTAAAATTCGATCAGTTAACGTAGGAATAATAATATGATCGATACTTCTTCCGAAAGCAGAAAAAAAAAAGAGTTTTTATGACCACATGCTATTATTTTCTGTCAAAAAAAAATTTTTTTTCTATACTATACAGCAATAACATTGCAACACAACATCTCGCTTGAACTTTATACAAATATCTAAATTCAAAGTTTTCCAGGCAGAAAAATATTGATCCAAGTATTTAGGAAGAAAAAGCTGATATAATTCAACTTTTTTTTTTCAATATAAAAACGATGATACAAAAAAGGGTATTAGTAAAATACACCCTGTATTACTTTGAGCGTCGTTTTACTTGAAGCTTATGCCAGTCGATAAATCTTGAGATTCTTAGTCGAATAGACCTCACTCTGAATCATTTTAGTAAAAAGATAAAGTTGTGATAAATGTCTGATAGTGTTCTAGTCAGTTCAAAATATGTAGCAGAGATACAATTGACTCGACTTTTCAAACATTTACTTTATTGAGAGTTTAGTACAGAATGGCTTCCAGTAGACTCAGAGTGTAGTTTACTAATACACAAAACAAAGAGTTATGATCTAACGGAGGAACATTCCCAAGTGATCCACTCCGTTTATATATATATATTATGCCAATATGTAAAGGACCATTAGATTAGAATAATCGCCAAAAGGATTCTTGCTTTTGTTGAGACTTGGCCGAAATACTGAATTTTTCCTATAGAACGTTAGTTTTCGAGTAAAATCATATCTTCGAACTTTAATCTAAAACTATATTAACATGAAGGTCTTGCTATGCCTAGCTTATATATAAAGTTTTATTATTCTTGAACATTGCTTCGTTGATATATGAATCTTTTAAAATATTCATGCTTACCTATAGAACATTAACTTTTTTTTTTGAAAAATTTGTATTTCAAACATGCAATGTCTAAAAATGATAAAACTTTATATATGAGTTAATCATAGCAAGACCTTCATATTAACAAAATTTTAAATCAAAATTCGAAAATATGATTTTTACTCAAAAACTAACGTCCTATAGAAAAAATTCAATATTTCGATCAAATCTTAACAAGAGTAAGAACCCTTTGGCAATTGTTCTAATCTAATCGTTCTTTACATATGAGCATAATATGAATGTAAACAGAGTGGATCACTTAGGAATGTTCCCTCGTAAATATTTCTAAGCTTTTGAACTCATCTCATACTCAATCAAACTCATCTTTTTATTTAAAAAATTTCTCAATACAATGCTCTCCAAAATAGTATTTTTTCATGGCGAGTTGATCCGTATAATGAAATTAAAAAAAAAATATCTTTTCATAAGATAATATTAATTTTGTATTCAATTGTATCTCAAAAATAATGTTCCATTTATAATGTTAACATCAATTATGCTTAGTAACTAAAATAGACTATTTTGTAGAGCATTTCATGAGAAATCTTTCACTAAAAAAAAGAAAAAAGATAAATCAATAAAACATAAGATAGGAAGTAAAAAAGAATTTTAAAATATTAAGATTAGAATTCTTTTTAAATCATGAAAGACGATTGAAGTAATTTTCTTATTAACTGAATGCTATATTAACAAGGCTTACAAGTTTTTTAAATTGTGCAATGATATTCTGAAGTAATACACTTTGATCATCATCCTATAAATAAAAAGTTAATAAATATTAAAAGAAAAAAGAATATTTTTTCTCAGAAACCTCGCTTGGTTTATCAAATTTAACACCACCTTTTTGAAAAAGCCATGCTGAAAGAGCAATAAATGCATGTAATTGATCTCCTGGATTAGTAGATACAGCAAAATGAATTCGTGATAGTGGTTTCATTCTCCATTTTAATACATATTCATCATCATAATTAAGTAATTTTAATTTATTATGTAAATTAGCCATATCAACAAATACTTGAAAACCAGCTCCTGGACTTACATCAGGTACATCAGTACCAGCAGTACTTTTAACTGTATCGTCAGTCATTTAATATTATTTTTTCGTTAATTTTCAATAAAAAATATAAAAATAATTCATATTACTTCCATTGATTCAAATATCACTCTTATGAACAACCTCCACTAACAAATATTTCATGTAAAATGATTAACGTCATCTGTTACTTTTATCAAAGAAGATGTCGCTTAAATTTTTCAATTAACTTTAATAAATAAAACATTTTAAGAAGCAAAAAAAAAACAAAAAGAAATAAATAAATTGTTTTCAATCATTAAAATTAATGTCATTTAATAAAATTTATTTTTAATTAACCAATAAGATAAATAACTCTACAAAAAAAAAAAAAACAGCTGTTGTTTATTTATTTCTATTGTTTTACAATTCTTCTCATTTGATCTGTCTTAAACGATAATTTATCAAAAACAAAAACAAAACAAAAAAAAAAGAATGACTTTAAGTGAATTAGAAGAAGAAGCTCGTAAACGTAAAGAACGTCTTACACAATGGAAATTAAAGAAACAAAATCAAACAACTAAACGAAAAGAATATGAAGACGATGAAAATGAAAATGAAATCGATAATAAAGATAAAGATTTACAAGAAGAAACTATTGAATTTCCTAAACCAATATTTCGTAATTATAAACCAAATGATTCAACAAATATATCAGGTGCTATTATTTTACCTAAACCAAAATTAGTTGATGTTAAATTAATGGTAGATAAAAATAAAATAATATTTCTTTTGTTTTGTTTTTTTTTATTTGAATTTTATTTATTTAGATTGAAGATCAAATTAAAAATCGATCGAATGAAAATGATAATTCAATTAGTGGTGTAACAGAAGATGTTGATTTATTATCATTAGCACCACGAAAACCTGATTGGGATTTAAAACGTGATGTTGAAAAAAAATTAAAACGTTTAGAAAAACGAACAACACGAGCCATTGCTGAATTAACACGTGAACGTTTATTAACAGAACAAAAACAATCTCAAACATCGTTAGCTGAAGTTGTTGCTACGACTTCAAAATTAAATGAAGCAACACAAGATGATGATGATTAATATCGATTATTAGAAGATTTCTTTATATTTTTTCTCTGTTGTGTAAATAAAATTATTAAAATAAAAAAAAAAACAGAAGATTTTGATGAAAAGAAAACGTTTTTTTTTTTTTTTTTTGTTTTTAAGATAATGATTATTCATTTTAAATATATTTATTATCAATTATCTATATTAATGATTTATCAATTTAATTGAACTTATTAGTTCATTTGGAGTGTCATATTGACATTTTAGTTTTCTTTGTGGTCTTCTATTTTAAATTCGATGCGTTGTTCGACAGTTTTGTCGAGCAACACTAGGGGTATTTCATCTATCGAACAACCACTTATTCATCAATCAACAGTCAACACTACCAAACTGGAGTATTTAACTGATTGGCTTACTGGGTAAGATATGAAGAATTATTCGAATTTATCTTTTAATAAGATTATTCTCCATTAGTTTTATTTTTTTTGATATTTGATATTGAAATTGATTCTATCAAAAACAAAAAAAAGGATATGAATTTTCATATTCTTTGTCAATATTCTATTATCTATTTGAAGAATTCTTTTTTTTATTGTAACTTTTGAAAATCTTGATATTGAATTTAAGAAAAAAAAATATTTTCTTCGTTTATCCTAATTAGTCGCTATGAATGTTAAGACTAAAGAATGAGTGTTAATTACTCGAAAGGCAAAATATCGAATCTTAAAAGTTCGTAAAACAATAACCAATAACACCCTAACATTTAGTTCATGTTCAAAGTAATATACAAAAGAAAAAAAAAAGACTAATTGTTATACAATATCGACTTCAGAATTTATCGTCAAGATTTCACAATACGGAAATCGATTTTAGATAATATCTTCAAAGTTGATGATTAACTCTAGTAAAGGATATGAAATCAAAAACAAAATCAATATTGTTCTTTTTTTTTCTTAAGATCCTATATCTTTTTACCAGCTTTTCTCTTGAACTGAACTGATAAAACACTGCATCAAAATCAATGTTGTATATGTGTATTTTTTATTCCTAAATTTTGATCATTTTTTTAAACAAATTTATGATTAATAATAACGTATCTCTTAAGCATTCAAATAGCTTTTATATTTTATACTTTCATGATTTTTTACATTCGAGCAATTAACATTAATTTAGGTTAACAAAAAAAAAAAGAAAGATGACTTTGATATTAAACTTATGAATAATAACGTCTGTATTGTTCGAGTTTTTGTATGACACACTTTTTAGATTTGTCAGCGCAAAGTTTTTTTAACATTTCTGCAACTGTCAAGTGCACAGTTGCCTAGAATAATATGCGACATAAAAGGTTGAAATCGGATCAAATGTGCTTTGATTGTAAGAATCGGGTTCAAGAAAGAAATTGTTTGTTCTTTTTGGTCTGTCAATTTATAATTCCTCTTGACATGAAAAATATTTTGAAATATGAGAAAAAAAGGATTGTTTTGCTTGTCCAAACTAGAGTATTTTTGATTGAGTTTTTTTTTCTTATGAAAATGTAAATATATAAATGGCGAACGTATATGTATATCGATAGCTTGATTTATCCTAGTGAACATAGATGATTATTTAGGGTAGGATAGGAATGACCTTCTCATATATTTACTAAAGATGAGATATGTATGATATTTGTTTTTTCTCTCGTTGTCATCGAGTTCTTGCTGTTCATTGACTGATCGAGCTAATTCTGTTTTTTTTTCTTCTCCCTTTTATAACCTTGCTTATTCTTTATTTGTTTTCATAAGGCGTGTCGATCTGTGTTTTCAAGAGAAGGTCATTGGCCTTTCTTTTTTTTTTTTTTTTTTATTTTATTATCTTATTGATCAACATTTAATACAATTTGTTAGTAGTTAAAATAAATAATTCAAATTTGAAAACAAGTAGAAAAAAAAATATTTGTGATCAAAATGACTTTAAATGAGAATAAATATGAAGAGAAAAATAGATCGATTTTTGATTATTGTTTAATAGAAAGAGCATTAAACATCAATATGACAGTTCGAAATAAGGACATTCAGTTGAATTTGACTTGTGTGGATCAATGTGTCACCATCGAGGGAATAGTGGCGTGATCGTGCTATGTTTGTTTTGATTGATTCTCTTTTTTTCCTCCGTTGTTGCAGCGTCGTCATTTTCTCTTGTTCTTTTTCTCACTTGAAGAGAAGCGTGTAAGAAGTAAAAAAAAAGAAATACGGAGAAACGACCAACAAGGGAATGAGACCTTACTAATGACAATATTTTACTAGACCATGGGTATTCTTAGTTTGTCATTTATATTCACTTCTGCTTCATCTAATACGTAAGTTTTATTTTTTCTTTTGAATTCCAATGAGAAAAAAAAATCTTTTCTTCACATGTTGAATGATCAATAGTAACTATTTCGAGAGAAACAAATTTATTTTCTAGATTTGCATTAGTTATCAGATAAATATAATCGGTTATGTTTTTCTCATTTGAACCGTAATCTAATATTCATACGATTGAAAGAAAGAAGCAAAAAAATAGCTTTTTTTTTTTCTCATCACAAAAACTTTATTAAGAAAAGAAAAAGAAACGAAGATTCATATTAGTTGTTGCTCAATCCCTTTGTGTATTTAGTATGTTCACAAAAGAAGAGCAGACGACTAAGCCATCTAGAGAGATTACGGCAACAGAATAGTGGACGACAACGATCAAATCGATTGACCTTCATAACGTGCTTTGTATATTGTTTAATCGTTATTCGTTGTCAAATCCTAGTGGAAGCAAACCTTTTCTCTCTCTCTCTCTACCTGTTACAAATGTAAAGTGTGTTGTTGATCGAGCAGCAAGGATCTATATAGCAATGAGAAACAGAACGAGAGTAAAAAGCGAGAAACAGTAGCATTGGCAAAATAATGACATCATAAAAAACGGAAGCTTGAAGAGAACTGGGAGAAGAAAGAGAAGAGAAACAGAAGGAACCATCTGGAGGCGAAGTGTCGTCGTTTCTTCATTTGCTATGTTCGTCTTTCCACTCTGGTACGTTATTCTCAACTAAATAGATGACCATTTATTGACAAATATTTAAAATAGATAGGAATTTTTATACTTTCATAATTATTAAAAACAAAAAAGTGAAAGTATTTATATATTTTTTTTTTGTCATTGATGTCTGATGAATCAATAAAAGTGTTGATATTACACTCTTGAGTTTTGTTATTATTGTCTATAGAGATATAAATATTGCATTCACAATATAATTAGAACAAATGGATATTTTTTTTTTATTTTATTTATGTTAAGAGATTAAGTTCAAAATATTATTCGATTTTTCATAAGAAAAACGATAGAAATTTATTAAAAGAAAGGCAACAAAATAATAATTACATTTCATTTTCGAGGTATTAGTTTTTAATACGAAATCGATTACACCATATGTGTTAAATAGTTTCATTATTTTTTTTTTTTCTAACGTTTACCGATCATATGTTTTAGTAATTTATTTTTTTTTTTTTTTTTTTTTTTTTTAATCTTTTTTATTTAAAACAATTAAATATAAAGAAAAAAGAAAAGAAGAAAAAAAAAAATGGGCACCTGTAAAAAAAATTTTTTTTTTTTTTTTTTTTTTTTTGTGAGATGTCTATGGTTTACATTGCATGCGTTATAACATGCATTACTTCTCAAATAATGTTGCGACAGAAAAAGGTGATAAGCATTTCTTCTTTAACTCAGTGAGCATTGTTATATTGGATTTTTATCATACAAGTTCAAAGTTCGATTTATAAAAGACAAAAAAAAAAAAGAAAAGAAAAAAAACCCTGTCTTTCAACACGCAATTTTTTTTCTTTCCTGTCATTATAAATTATTAAATAATGAACAATTTATTACGGTAAGAATTGTTTATTATTTGACATCATCATTGAATCGCGCAATTTAATATTTACTTGTAATGAGTCATAGTCTGAGTAGATAATAACAAGTTATATTTTTTTTTTTTTTTTTTTTTTTTTACTTCTGATGATGACTTAACAGAAAAAAAAAACAAAAGGATTCAGTAACATTATCACATAGAAACAACAACAATGCGTTTACGTTCGAATACAAATGTTTCAGATTCGGAGAATTCTTTTTGGAATCATCCAATATCAAACCTATTTGATGTTTTATTTCCCCAATTGAGGTATGTGCTTAACAAAAAAAGACGTAATAATAATAACAATACTAATAATATGACACATAATTCAGAAAAACCTTGCTGACTGTCAAACATTACTCATAAGGAAAGGTGAAAAGATGCGTTGATGCGTAACCAGTTTTTATTTTCTAATGCATTTTTTACTTTTCATCGATACATAAAAAGACGAAAAGAATGGTCAAGTTCATTAGTCGAGAAACAATTCTCAATAGTTTTCAATACACACATTTTTTATGTCCGAATCTTGTATCAAAATTGTCAAATTATCGACATACGTATGTTATTAGTTGGATCTTCTCTTTTTTTTTTGTGTAATATTAAATAAATGAAAAGTTTTCGATAGAAGATCTAGTTTCGTTTTTTTTTTTTTATATTTATGACTCGAAACAAGGAAAAGTACAAAGTGGCAGTATCAATGAGTTTTTGATTGATAAAAAAATAAGTCAGAACTTGCTAACGTTGGATCAATGATAAGTGTATAGAAGATGAAAAAAGAGTCAAATGAGTAAAGAGCGTAGGGCAATGGGCCGTGACTAGTTTATATATTCTTTTTTTTTTTTATGTGCATGAAATAATCGATGCGTGCCCTTTCTCTTCATTTAGGCTCCATTTTTACGTAAATATTATTAATATTAATATATTCAAATTACTTCTATTTTTCTATTTAAAAGGAAACAACGTCGAAAAAACGAAGGAGCTGGTCCAACAGGTAAAGATTCATCGCCACCTCCGAGTGATCTTCCAAATGGTGGATTAATAAATCCAAATGAAAATCCGAATCAATCTTCTATCTCATTAATATCTACAACTCAATCAAATTTATTAAATTCATCAAGTAATGGTAATTTACTTTATCTTCAACCAGAATATGCTATTTTTACACGATCACTTGCTGAATGTAATATTCATGAATTAATTCGACAACCAAATGGTGTAGATAAAAATGAATGGATTGCAAATAATAGTTCGTAGTTTTTCTTAAATTAAAATTTTTCTTGAACAAAAAAAAAAAAAAACATTGTTTTTTTCTTTATAGTTGTTGCTTTTTTCAATCATGTGAACGCTTTATACAATGCAATGTGTGACTTTTGTACACCAACAACATGTCCAGTAATGACCGGTCCTCAGAACAGGTTTATTATTTTTTTATTTTTTTTTTTTGATTATTAAAATAATTTGATAATATTTTTAGTTCGTATTTATGGATTGATGAACGAAATAAAAAAGTAAAATATTCTGCACCACAATATATTGAACTTTCAATGATGTTTATACAAAAAACACTTTCCGACGAAACTATATTTCCTACAAGACTTGGTAAAAAAAAAAACAAAGATTTGAATTTTATTTTATTTCTTTTTTTTTAGATCAACAATTTCCTTTATATTTTGATTCACTTGTACGTAAAATGGTTCGTCTATTATTTCATGCTGTAGCACATTTATATGCTGTTCATTATCGTCAATTAATTGAATTACAATTACATCCACATTTGAACAGTTTCTTTCTTCATTTTATATCATTTTTAATCACATCGAATATAATCTCTTCTGATTGTTCAATTGTACATACGAATTATAGTGGAACACTTTCATCTTCATTGACAACACCCGGTCAAACAGATGCACGTGAACTTCGAACAGAACTCGAAACTTTAGATGTTTTATATCAATTATTGGCAAATCAATGGCGACATGTTTATGGTCAAGCATGTGCACAAAAACGAAAAGCAGCAAACAATGAATGAAATATAAAATATTCATTTGTCAATAACGGAGAAAAACATATTTTTAAATCGATATATATATATAAATATATATATATAAAATGATTGCTCGACTATTTCCGAGTATGATTTCTTTCTCTTTTTCTTTTGTGCTTGTTCTTGTTCATTTTTCTTTATATGTCTTAGCTGCATTAAAAACAGTGACACTTTAATAACGAATTTCACATTGTTTCTCTCCGTATTTGTGTGTCTTTTCTCTTCTTTATGAAAAAAAAAACCAACAACGACCAATGCGTCTTATGTATCTTCATTTATTTAAAAAATAACAAACATTGACAAAATAATATAAGAAATATCTTGATTTTATTGATTTATTTTTTATTTTCAAAAGGCTTAAAACGTAACAAACACTATTTTTTTATTTGACCACTTTTTTTTCGAAAAAAAAAAAAAATCCTATTTAATCAAGACAGCCTATCGTCAACAAACGAATGATAAGATAAATATTATCACCTGCGCAGTTTTCTCTGCCATTTTTTTTCTTCATTGATGTTATTACTTGTAATCGAATAAATGTTTAGCTTAAATTTCAATCAATATGATTCATTCAAAAAAAAAGAAAAAAAGAAAACGACATAATAATCATTGTCTAAACGTTTTGTTTTTTTCTTATTTATTTTAAAAACTTCACATGACATAACGGAAACTAATTCGTTTATACTATCGATGCCATATTTTGATAAATGATGAAAGAATTCATCATTCTATCACGCACACATATAATGATAAGCGTAACTATTGATCATATCTCAGAAAAAATTTTCTTTTTTTTACAAAATGGATGAAAATAAGCCGTCAAAGTATATAAAAAAGATTATTCTTGAGATTCTCAATCGGTTCGTATTATTTAATAAGTTTTATATATAAAAAATAAAAAAAAGTAAGAGTTCTTCTAGTTCACGTTGTTGGTTTCATCAATGGCAAGTTCATTGTATAGAAAAATCTAATATTGCAAGATTTAATCCAAGAGCAGTAGCTTATGCTTTTCTTAGACAATATAATGGAGAAACTTTTGTTAAAGCTCAAAAAGTAAAGAAATCAGTTTGATTGTTCTTTTTATTGTTTGGTACAACTTCTAATTTATTATTAGATTACTGTTCGGTACAATGATCAAAAAATATGTCTTTGCGTACGTGATTTGATTTGTAAGTCATTTCTTTATTTTTTTTTTTTGTGTACTATTTTGATATATTGTTCGTTAATGATAATTAGATGGAAAGATCGATAATAATTCGAATAGAATTTCTGATTCAATGGTCGAATTTATTTATCGAAGTGGAATGTTTACGTATGTGTTTACTTAGTATTGTTAACATTTAATTTTTTTTTTCAATATTTAGTGAGATCAGATGGCCAGCAACAATAGTCAATCAAAAGAATCAAGTAGAATCGAAAAATGATAAAAAACAATTGGTGAGTTAGAATTTAATTATCTAAATTATTTATTTCTATAAAGAAAATAGTCAACATTGAACACAATACAATCGTTTCAAGATGAAATAAGTACACCTATGAACCTTCCGAATATTCATATTGATGTTGATAAGACACCTAATGTCAGTACCTCGTAAGTCGATGAATATGTATTCTGTTTATTTATTTGAGAATATGTGACAGGATTGTACCATGCGCGTCATGCAATGATCGAGATGATAATCAAATTTTATCAGTGACAGAAAATGTCACTAGTTCATTATGTCAAGATTGTCGAGTTCATCGACCAGTTTTCAGTCCACAAAACTTAATTACTGGCAATGGTCAGTAGTCATTTTATTCTTTATTTTCTATGTTTTTGTTTTAGATACAAATCTTCCATCGAATCATGTGATAGATGATGAGAATCATTGTCGAAGTTCAATTTTTATTTATATTAATCGAATTAAGAGTTAATCATATCATTGAAAACTTTGCTTCTTATAATATTCGAAATTTTTCATGAATTATTGTTGCTTTTTAAAAAAAGTTATTCCAACAACATTAATCAATTTTTGCTTTGGTATTCAAAGATTTTTTTGTTTTTTCTAAATTAAATAAATAATAATTATTATCAGTTACAGATCTATTTCAATTAAATAATAGTGAACTGAACACTTCGTAAGATTTTATAGAAGTGGATTTTCTTTTTAGTTTAGAAATAAATTTAATTCTATATGACTTTTGTTATTCTATACTTTGATATTCAGTTACTGAATTTTGATATGTTTTTCTTTTATTGTTTTAAGAGAAACAAGTAAATAGTGTGATTATTTTAGATCTAATAAGATTTTTCTAAAGGATAATGACTATCCATAACATTAGATATTTCTTTTCCAAGTACTAGAAATAATAGGCTCAATTTTATCAATTATTATTTTTATTATACAAATAGATAATGAGCTCTTTTTTTCATTTGAATAATTTATATATATAATAAAAAAAGGTGTTTGTATCACTAGTAAGTAAACATCTTTCTTTGGAATAGAAATTTCTAAACCGAATTATCAAGTGAAAAATCAAATAAAGATAGTTAATTTTTGATGACTTGACAATAGTGATATATCTGGCATTTTAGTCATTATTGTGCTAATTAAACCGATGACTGAAAGTAATTCTCAGGAATCAATATGGTATAACAGTCTAATGTTTGAATAAATATAAATTTGTTTGATCGTATTAATAATAGCTCCATGAATCTGAGTATAAGCTTATTGACAGAATAAAGAAAAATATAATTACAAATAACACATTCTGATGATGCAAGAGTAATATGTTTACGAATACTATTATTATTATTATTTGTTTATTATATTAAAAAAAAAGTCCGATAAATTTGCCAAGAATAAAAGGCAAATAGAACGAAAATAATCAAACGAAATCTAATCATACAGTTCAAAAGAATATAAAATTTAATTTCACTTCAAATTTGAAATTGAATCTGTACGATTTTCTTAATTAGCCTATGACTCAGAACATCGTCCTGATTCACTAACTGGATATTTTTCAAAATAGAGAAGCATCATAAAATAAATCTCTTAGATATCGAAAAATCTTTTTATCCATTAGATGAATAATGAAAAACATGTTTCTTGAAGCAAAATTTATTTAATAAATATCTTGAAGAAAATAGTTTTTCAATATCAACTTCCGTGTTTTCAATATTCTGTACTGATTCACAAATCGTATCATATGGTAAATGATCTTTAAAATCTGGAGAATACGTTCACATTTTAAATTATGAAATATTCCCTAGATTGAAAGGATAGGAGGATCTAGACATAGGAATTCATCTGTGTCTGTCTCTACTATAGTTACCATTTGGTATCTATTATACGAAATTCGATTACATTATGAAACAATTCTATAAACTCGGTATTTCACTGTATATGATCGTATTTCTTCGTATGTGATATGGAGAAATACGATCGTTCATAGTCAGATACTTAGTGAAGCGGAAGTGGTGTTAGAACTCTGTAAACGATCGTATTTCTCCTTATCACATACGAAGAAATACGAGTATAATACTAAGTCACATAAGACGTCAATATACGATGATTGACGGTTGTTGATAAGTATGTTTTTTTTTGGACCTGAGATACTTTTAGACATAACGGTCATTGTTGTAAAACTATTAAATAGTTTGATCAATTGTTCAATAGTGTATACATGAAGATGTGATCTAATAATTATTAAGAATTAGAGAGTGAGTCTGAACATAAGATTATGATAATTATTTTTTTTTGCGATAGAATTAGCGTTAGTATGACCAATTGTAAATAATTGTATTTTTGTATAAGCATAGTTTTTATTCTAAATATGATGAAGAAGATACAGAATAATAATAAAAAACAGATCGTTCTCAATTTCAAGATTTTTATTTAAATATATTAAAACTTCAAGCATAAAATCTCGAAAATCAATATAATACTATTTGTGAGTGCATATCATAGATAGATTTTCAGAATTCGACATATATTAGTATATGATAAAAAGAATTTTTCATTCATCATGATCAACTATCGTTTGAAATTGACAATGAAGTTTTAACAATAAAAACAAATAGAGTTACAAGAGTACACCTTTATAGAAAAACCAATAAAATTGCACATAGAAACTGAACCATAATTGCAGCATATTAAAAATCGTTTTTCCTTTATAAACATAGAAAAACAAATTTTATATTACGAAAAAATTTGTTTTTTTGCAAAACAAATCTCTGTTATATGTCAAGTCATCTCTTGCATTTATCTAGTATCCCTACTTAATGTATGTTTATATCTAGATTCGCCTATATGTATATCTCTATTCGGTAAATAGAGCTAAATAAATCGAGTCTTGATGGACGTTGTTTATTAGATAAGCATGATACTTGTTGGCATTGAAGCCTTATAGCGATATTAATCGATAGTGTTACTAAATTAGTAACATTTCGCAAACTGCAAGTTATAATGACAATTCTTACAATAAACACGTAATAAAGTAATCAAAGAAAAAGAATATTTATTAGACATGAAAATCGATTTAGCAACAAAATATTTAACCATGACTATATCAAAATCATTGTATTGAATTTTTAATATTGAATATTATTGCTGTTCATGGAAATTTACGTTTAATAGTTATTGAAGGTGAAAATGATAAATAGTTCTATGAAACCTTTAATAAACACTTAATTAAATAAAAGTTTTTTTTAACTGATGTGCAACAGCTTGTATTTGTTTGTTCATTTTTTTTTAGTGATGCAAATGCTTTATTTGAACATGCTGTGAAGCATCGAATTTTAAAATAAACAAATGACAGTGGAAGTAATTTGAAAAAAGTTTATTTATAGTTTAATTGACAAGAATAGACAATATTAGTGAACAACAAAATATGACTGCACTAGAACGTTATTATCTCGAGAATTATATTTATATTTGTAAAATATTAGTTTCTTTTCGTATTGTATTACCAATAAAAATGTAGAAAAATCGTCCGAAATTTGAAATTGTTGAAGAATATTTATTAGAACTTATGACCTTATTTTATTCATATAATCAAGTATCAATATTTGACTTCGTCACAAAAACAAGAGATATTTTAAACAATTGTTGGATACATTTCAACTCTTTTTAGACGAAACTTTGAATTAAAAACAAATTTATTACTATGGTTAATTTATTTTTATGTGTTTCATAGTACCAGAAAATCAGAAAGCTCATCAAGATTTACAAAAAAAAGAATGGTTTCCAACAAAACGAACAATTTTACAATAATTAAGTTTAATAATTCAATTATTGTATTAAAACAACAATCGATTACTATCATTAAAATTCTAATTGCATGCGAAATGAATACTTCATGTCAGATTACTTTCAATAGTACAATCGAAGAAGGATTCATCATTGTCATATGCCAAAGAAAGAGCAGAGATAGGACATTAGGTCTCTAAACAAATAGCACTACGTAGTTCGTGATGATCAAACTGAATAATCACTAATATTTGATTCTATCTATGAAGCAAAATAAAATAGTAATTACATTTTTTGCTAAGAGCGTATACATTTAGTTCAAAGTGAAAATTATAAAATTGAACCAAATATGAACATAGAAACATCAAATTACATATCAATCTAAAATAGATTTTAATCATTTTCGGATATAGATGAAAGTATACCAAGCACACAATCAGATAAATAAAAAAAGTGATTCGTCGGACAGAACTCTGTCGCTTCTCGTTTAAGGAAGATTAGTAATCACTCGTTAATTTCGTATAGGATGATTTTGCCAGAGCTTTTCTATTTAATTTTATCACTATGATTTGTTCGTTTAAACATAGACAAGGCACATCGGTGATTCATCCAACAGTCTAGGCTTTCTAAACGAACCAAAATCCATTCGTTACATATAGAGGTGTAAGCCGTGGCGGTGACGGCTCAAGCTTTTCCATGACCCTTTGTTTTCTTGTAAAAAAAGGAAAAGAAATATGACTTTAGTTTACAATCAGATTATTCAATTTCTGACGGATTTTAATCACGATTACCGTAAAATGCGTTTTCTCGAGTTTTTATTTATAAACTCAAATTTTTGAATAGTTTCTTAGACTTCTCAGCTCAGCAAGCGGTAAATACAACGTTAGAACTCTTTGACACACATGTCATACTGTGGGCTATTATATCAAACAATACTTATACAAAAACAATGCTGATAAAATAGGCTACAATCAGTCATTTCTTGATTGAGTCGATTAAAAATTGGTTTTCAGATTTAAAGACAGATTTCATTTTATTTTAATCAATTCTAAATCACAAAAAGCAGATTTTTTTCGCTTTTTTCTGGTAAGAACATTCACAAAAACTGATCCTGAATTTTCACAATATGCGAAACCTGAGTATATTTTTTGTGCAACGACTGAGAAGTTTTCGAAAAAATCGTCGGTGGTGGTGGCGGCTCAGCCGTTCGGCTTACACCTTTGGCTGCATAAGTTCATGTAAAACAAAAAATTTACCGAAAGGCTTCACACGATCAAATATACCAATGCTTTCAGTTATAATTGATATCAATGGAAGTTGGAAAGCAACTCTTTCATAAATCATAGTAAATAATTCTTTTTACATTCAACATTAAAGCTAGAACCATATTTGCTAGATTAAATGACGAAATCAGATAATCACAGTACAGTACTTGATGATATATATTGCATGTCGTTATATTAGTGATACACTCTCTGTTGTTTATATTATATCGAGATCAAATTATTTGATTTCCATTGCTTTAGAATCTTTTTTTAAATTAGCCAGTTTTACCGTTAATCAATCATGAAATGTGTTTGCAACACTAATATCTTTAATTAAAAGAGATATTAAGTTACAACAGATCCTTTGAACAGATTTTCTAATAGAAAATAAGTTCATAACCAACTTAATATACAGATAAATAAGTTCTTGGTAAGAACTTTATATGTGTTTGTTTGATCTGTCTAAACAAGAAACTTCTGAGAAAAAGTCATTTCAGAAATATCGTGTCCTTTTATGTTAATACATCAGAATTATATGTGATCTTTTCTTACAAAACTGATGTGACGAATCAATTTTAACTCTTTGCTACACCATCTTGAGAGCATTACCATATTTCATTTTATTATATTTTCTATTTCAAGTTGATGGAGTATTAATTTGAAATTTTGAAAATGATACAACTACAAATTTAAGAAATTGTAATATTTTATCATCGAGTCAAACCTTTTCGTTTTTAAATTTATTAATAAATTATGAAACTTTTAATTCTTTGCTACAGTCAGATAAATTTCATGGTTCAGCAGTGCTATTAGATAAATCATATACTTATATTCATTCTTCATTAACAAAAAAAGCTTTTGACATAACAAAAATAGTGTGTTATAATTATGGTGTGTCAGTAATAATAACAATAACACAATTCTGAAACAGTATCCTTAGTATCAAATGTTGAATATTTGTTTTCTATGAAATGAAATAAAATGATAAAAAGGACTTTGTATCAAATGAGGAAAAAATAAAAAGCGCTGTATTTAGTTACTGACATCGATAAAATGTATTTCGAATGTATCAATTCATATGATATCTAAATATGATTGTCAAGTCAATGTAAAACAGAAAGAATTAATTAGTGTATTTACTAAATAATAAAATGACAAAATATCATCGGAAACCTTTGCTAATGACATTGTTACATGTCATCATGCCAAAAAAAGTAATCCTACAAATATTCAGCTGTTATTGCTATGTAACATTGATTGATATTCTGTCAATGCATTTTGTTATTATATAATTTCTAATGAGGTGATCACGAAATGCAATCCAGATATTACGTTAGTATTTCAAAGATATGAATTAACTACAAAAATGCCATCCATCTAATATTTTATATAAATTCAATGTGAATTTTACTGTTCAATCGTTTATTAATCTTATGCATGAATTTTTATCGAAAAATCTCAGTCAAAAAGAAAAAAAGAGATTGATGTATACGTTAGCAGAATGAAGACTATGTTTAAAAGTTTCGATTATTTTGTATAAAAAAAGGAGATAGTTTAGTTTTAGAAACAGCTTACAAACGAATACAGAATCAAATGAATCTAGAGTGTATTATGAAAATTTGTTATTGATAAGAGACATGTGATTATACTTCAAGATCTACTAGTAATCTTTGAATCTTTATATTCGTCCGTATCTGAAAATCGTTCGTAAATTTTATCTAGCGAGCATGAGTGTAGATGTCTGTAGGTGGTGGCTATGATATAAATGGACATAAGATCTACACTCAACCTGCACCCGCATCCAAATCAACATCAATACTCACAGCCACACCTACACTCTATTCAAAGAAAATATTGACTCAAAAAGAAGAATCAAAATTCTATTAGTATTTGGTATCGTAAAAGTATTGAATCACAAAAGATGTGTAAATCATCTCGCATATCAATAAAAGATAAAACAGAAGATTGAAGAATTTAATGTCCTAAGCAGTATTATTCATTATCGATTATTTAGATATCATCAGTAGTGGTTTTACCAAACATTGAATCTCGTATCTTGTTTAATGTGTAGGGACTAGCATAGACAATGGCTAATAGGAAGCTGCGGGTCCTTCCAGACCCGGACCCGGCTGGATCCAAAGTTCTATTGTTTTTTTGCCGGATCTGGGTCCAACCTTTTATTTTTTGTTGGACCCGATTGCACGTTTTTGTGAACCTGCTGTTCCCCAGATGAGAAATATAGCAACAAGATATACCTGAACGTTGAGTTTTTTTCTGAAAGTAACGAATAAATAACTAAAACTTTGATCCTTCACTTGTTCATGTACATGCAGCATGCCAGATATTCATGGAAAAAACCTCGGGTTTGGACCTAGTCAGGTCTAGGTCTACAAAAACGTGAACTCACAGCTCCCTAGTGGCTAAGTTAGATCATATATTTCACGTTATGCGTGTTTCTAAACCTATTGTTTACTCTGCAATCATTCGATGTGTCAGTCACTCTTATTTATTTCGATGACTCATAGTGAAAATAACAGATAAGATGCGTGTGTGCTTGCAATATGCCACGTAGCAACATATATAATCACGGTGGCAATATATAAAACATATATACGGATATCACATCTTATTATTAAGCTCTTTTTTCGAAATGGAAGACAATCAATTAGTTGAAGATTATCTTCGAACTCGACTGCAAAGTGAAATAAATAATGTTCGTCTTTCGTTTATATCGTGTATAATGTCAACGATTCGTTGGTTAAAACGATATTCACATTGTTATTCGATCGCATGTTCATTCTTCTGTTTTCCTTTATGGATTCTTATGTTACCAATTGCTTTTGCTCTTGACATATGTATTTATTCTATTACATCTATTATTTTTATTATTGCTTTCATCATAAATATTCTATTTGCTCCATGTACACTAGCATATAAATTTTCATCATGTTCAGATGCTTGGAATCCTATGAATATTTATCGATACAGTCTAAGACAAGCATTACTTTGGTTTGAAAGTTTTTTAATGATTTTTCAAACATTTTGGTTATGTTATTGTGGTTCGGGTAATATTGAAGATGGTGCACCGATTTGTTGTACATATTGTTGTTGTATGGAATGTCATAATGCATGCAATCAAGCAACACACATTAAGATAAATGATCAACCATGCATTATACTCTAGACAATCAGATAAACAATTATCGTTACATTTTTCTTCTCGTAGTCAAAAAATTTTACATTAATATTACAAATATATTTGTGTCTTATCTTTCATATTTTTTATGACACAAGGAAAATCTGTCTTGATACTTACACAAAAGAAAAGAAAGATAAATGTTTCGTATCAAACATTATCTATAAATAGAATCTCTATGTAAAAAATACACTAATTTTGAAAACAATTTTCATCTGTATATCTACTCAGTTTTGAATCCTTTACGAAAAAAAAAGCTCATATTTCAATGAGTAAAATAATTAAAAAGAATGTAATTTGAACCTTTGATTATATCTGAAGAGCTTGACTATATCGATTCAATATAGATCTTTCGATTAGAAAATGTAGAAAGAAACTTTGTATGAATGCTAAGAAACATTTATGAATTATTCTTGAAGAAAAAAAGAATCAAACCTAGATTGAAAAATATAATTAGTTTCAATAAAAGTTTACTTAATGTTAATAAATGAGATGAAGAAAGAAATTGCCTTAATTTTTTCTTATTTTATAATTTATCTGAAAAGAAAAATTGACATGCATCAAATTTATTAAGAACTCTCGGAAAATAAAGAAATAATCGGTAATACAACATGCAATTGTAACTGAAAATAGAGAGAAAAGATTTGTATTTTCTCGAGATACTTTTATACATTAAAACTTGACAAACAAAAATTTATTTGCTTCATTTCTAATTCTAAAGTAAGTAACAAAAAAGTTTTGAATAGAAAGACTATTTCCATATGAATGAATAACAAAACTGATGGTGGACATTTGCAGTTTATACTATCGACTAGTCAAAATTTTGAACAATCATTTAAGCGAGACTACTGTGGTAGTATTTTGTTGTAACGATCAATTTTCTAAAAACATCTCCATCACTTAAAATATCATTGATAATATATATGGCAACATTGAGTTGTTCGAAATGTACTTTATCTATTCTATTTTACATTTGATTTTTAGCGAATTATATGAGCTTGTTTCAATTTGACTTACTAATTGCTAGTACGTTTGCGTTAACTTATATTTGCTTGTTATTCAGAACATATAGTATAGTGGTTAGAATATAAAATATCTTCAATCATCAAAATACATAAATATTGAAAATATTGTAATATAGAAAAAAAAAGTAAATGGACATGTAAATTTTAGGAATGAATCAGCCTGATACCAAACAACTATCTCCCAAAACAAATATACATATTTATCATAAAATATCGTCACAATCTGCATTTGCAACATCATTGCGTGACCGTCCTGTTGTATTCAATTCTCAACATGTTGATGATCTCAATCGAAAATATTCAATTAGTTCAAATGAACCAAGACATTTACGAATTGATGAAGGTAGCCTGCAAATGACAAATGATCCAAATAGTGTATTTTATCGACGTTTAAGTCAACAATTACAAAATACAAGTCCAGCTGATGCTCGTTCGACATATGAAAAGGAAAAACTGAAGTTTTTTGACCAATATGATTCAAAACTTGTCGAATTTCTCAAAGATCGAGAAGGCAATCTGAAATCAAAATATGACAAAGCTTTTATCACGTAAATCTTCTGATCATTCTCGAACTATTAATATTTGACCTTCATGTTTTAAAAACAAAATACAACAATAAAATCTGCTCCGCAAAATTGATACTACAGTCTTATCGTATATACGACAAAACTGTTACATCAGGACATATATATTTAATACATGCATTTATATGAGATAGATTCGACGACAATCCGAGTAAAAATGATTGAGAACTTTTATCATTTTAAATTCAATTATTAGTGATGAAAATTATGATCTTGAATCATATAGTACGATTATTCTCGTCAATATAAATATTGAATGTAAATAAATAATTTCATTTAAAGGATGACAGAAAAACAACATCGACAAACAACATGCATAAATGTTGAGTTTTCATATCTGCGAAACAAAAAGCATATGAAAATATAACTTATATATATATGTTAACAGAAAATTGTGTAATCAAAGAATATTATCGTAAAGGAAATACTTGATCAATGGTCAAACATATTTCTAAGATTGGATCTCTCTTCAATAAACTGCCTGTATATAAACGATAGGTAGGACGGCCATAACGAGATGTGAAACTATAAATAATATTGTCCTTGTCATCATCATATATTTGCTTATGATAGATAACAGAAATACGCACGTCAAGATAACGAAGGTGAGGTAAATCAATGTCGATAAGATTTTTCCAATTATTATCATCAAGCCAATCAACTTTAGCAGTATGAAAATCAATCATAGATAATGTTTCTAAACATTTAAAATGTTTAAGCAATTCTCTACATTGATGAAATGAAAGATTTTTTAGTCTTTTTAAAATTAAAGTATGTACATAATATAAATTAATTGGAAATTTATTAAGTAATTGTTCATATGAACTATTGTGCCATAATTTAAGTGTATTAATTTGCCATGGAGGAATGTCAGGTAGAATACATTTGAGATAAAGATTATTTTCTCTAATTGAATGAATAGCAAAACCTCGTATACATGAAAAAGCGATCAATTGATTGAAACGTGTATTTAGACCATAGAATATAGTATAAATATCGAACAATGTAAAATAATCAAAAAGTTCCAAAAGTAATTCATTTGGTAATTGTTCAAATGAAGTATATTTCAACGTACGACATTTTCTTCTCTTGTTACGAACTCTATGCTCATCTCCAGATGACGATGATGAAAGACAAGTAAATTTTGCACATAAAAATTGAGCGAAAGTATGTGATGAATTTGACATCTAAAAGTAAATGAAGTAATACAATTGTGTTTTGTTTCTCTTTCACTGAAATGAACACAACACACAAAAAAAAAAGAAGAGAAAAATATCTTGACACATTAAATGGCCAATCCAATATGCTTTCATTTGACTAGAACTGGTTTTTGCAGGATAAGGAGGCTAAGAAAAAGCTACTGATTCGCTTTTACTCGTCAACCAATGATACAAGTAAAGAATGAAAGAAAATGTTAGCAGTATTATATAGCTCACTGCATATCTATAATAAAAATGAACCATTGACTTGTAATACAACGGCAAATAATGTCAAACATTTTTCTATTCTATTCTGTGTGAGATATATGAACGACAAGTGTTATGGAGTAGAGAGTAGATAAAAGAACTTCAATAGAATATAAACTTTTCTTTAAGAACTTGTTTCAGAAAGAATAATTTTGTTAATGATTATTCTATATGCTAGAAAATAATATTATTTTAGAAGAGAATTAAGAATAGTTTTATGATTTCAAATATAATAAACAATAGATTTTTATATTAAATAAGAATTTATTGATAGTACGATTTATTAGTATTAAGAAAATAAGATTTTTTGAAGATTTATTCATGTTGAATTCTTAATATATCTGAAATTTTTGTAGAATGCAATCATCAGTCTACTCATCAAAAATATTTTTTTTTTGTTTTCAGCAAACATATTTCCGCTAAACTTCAAAGACATTGTTTCAAACCCTTTGAAGAGCTTTCTTTTTCTACTATAAGCGCAAAAAAAATGTATTCAAGTACACGTCCTTTACGATATATTTTATCAATATAAAATGCGTATTTTTCTTGCACGTTCTTCTCTATCCGTTTGTCAATATCATACTTACACTATTCTATTGCATGTTTCAGTAACTTCTCTATCTCCGTTACAGTCTAACAGAAGGTTGAAGTATAAATCAATCAGATGGATCATTCGTATATCGATTATACTTCAACTTTTGCTGTACTAACTATTCTATATGTCTTTTCTTAAAATCTTAAGAACTTTTAGCAAAGAAGTGGCCATGAAAGGTGCAATAGAATGATGTAAATGTGATAAAATAAGTACCCACACACCTCAATAGAAGACCACCTGCATACACAGCTTGACAGGCATATTACAAGGTTCAGATTGTCTTATTTAACGAAAAATTATTTCTTGCGTTATCTGTGTGTCGAATTTTTTTCCTATACATTTTATGAGATAGATATTTCTTATATGCAATATGAAAAGCAGAATAAATCAAATACAATAATATGTAACACTAACATCTATGAAAGAAAAGTAAATAATTTTTCTTTTATTCTTTCTAATTAAAAGAATGAAGGAAAGTGGAATAGATAACAAATGAAAAGTCGATCAATGACGATAACATTTACTTTTTTTTTTGTTCTCGTAAATGATTATAATGATTTCGATCATAGATCAAATGAATCGGAAGATGAAGATTTCATCGAAAGTGATATCAAATGTAGATAACAAAGAACATCAAATTCTTGATATGACTAAATATTTAACTTTTAGGTCTGATGATAAATCAGAAATTGATGATACCGATAATTACTATTCTATATCTGATGACACATGTTTTAAATCTAATTCTGATGCATCAGATGATGATCTATCCGAATATCATCCATTAGACATATCTCTGACATCTTCATTATCTCATTTATTGTCAATGACAATTGATACAATTATATCAAGTAGTAATAAAATGAAAGAAATGTCAAAACATAAACGTCGACAATGGTCCATACAAGAAAAGCGCGAGACTTTAGCTACACTTAAATATAATGATAGTACACATAAGAGATCCCAAAACTCGGCGAAATACGTCGCGAGACAAGGCGGTACGAAATTTGGCGAGTTACTCACCTGCTTATTATACAGTTTTTGCTGCATAGATATTATAATAGATTCGAAAAAAAAACAAAAATAGATAATCAGATTAAATAAAATAACTATCATATACATAGATCTAACAAGAAGAGAAGAATAGATGAGAGTTCAATAAATAATTTAGTATATAGTTTCTATAAAACATTTAAATTTTGTCAAAAATTCTATAGTTTTTTCAAGCCTCTAGTAAATACGCCCACCATCATCAGTAAACAATAACAACAACAACACAAAATATAGAGAACAATTACATGTGTTTATATCCAACTGAATGGTTTAATAAGATAATATTTTGAATAAAGAGAGAGAATATATAAAAAATTTATTTGAATCTATATTTATGTAATAGTTTTCTATATTTTGTTTTTTGTTATTGTTTCGTGATGATGCTAGACATGCTAACTAAAAGTTTGAAAGAAAAAATAGAGTTAAAACGTGTTTTCTGTTACTGACATACTTAATTATTTATTTTAATTATCATTCAGTCTCCTCTTCCTGTTGAATTTATATAAATGATAGTTATTCACGTTTTTGTCACATTCACATTAATTGACTATGATATGAATTAACAGTATGAAATCTCCAGAAAATCATTGATCAAAAAGAAAATTTTATATTTCGATCATAGTTCTATCGGCGTCGCTTTTACTCGTATGCCGATCATGAAGAATTTGTTAGTCGTAGAATTAATCCTATGGTTATTTCTAATATGATTCTTTACTTCGATCAACCGTGGCTCTCAAATATTGGACATGTACTTTTCGATGGACTCTATCCAGCGTATGTAGCTCTCATTCGCTTTCAACGGAAACATTTTCAACCGTTTCGTATATTGCTTAGTACCATGAGTGACAGTAGTAATCATTCATTTAGTCAAGATGTTTATAATGTTTTTGCTAGACTTGGCACTATGAATGCTAGTGTCCTAGAAGAAATGTCAGTCGAAAGATGATTTACTTTTCAGGAACTGGTGATGGAGGGTGTGGGATGTGAGTAAACTTTCTTGTCGAAACATGCCAATACTTATATCGATACATCGACCATATATGTCATGAACGAGTCTAGGATAATTTTTCATTGTTACTTGAAGACGTGATCCATACCAATAGGTTCATAATCATCCTCAGAGTTTGCTCGAAATGCAAAAAAAAAA